TTATGTCTTATGCGTTATGCTTTATGCAAAAGTCTGTGCTCCGGCCAATAGTCTCAGGAATCGGCAACTAATTCCGAACGCTGCCTTACATAAGCATATTGTAAGAGAGAACTTGTCCACCGATAGGTTATCTCTCTTACACACATTTACTTTTTCTTGCTCACACTTATGTATTGCGCACGTTGCGGTTGTCAAGCGCCTGATTGGCTGAGTGGCGCTGCACTACAAGAAGCGCCCGTGTACTCGTCGCCTATTGGTCAAGGATGATGCAACCAGCCGTTACATGCGAATCTCGGTGATCTCGTCTCGAGGCATTGTGCGATAGTACGTGTAACAAGATATACGTGTTTTCTTATTAATAAAGATCTATCGTACTGGCTTCACGTATTCTGTTCCGCTGTAAATTTTTGCGCAATGGGAAATTGAAAGCCATGCTGAGGCTTAAAAGTTATGATAGAGAGAAAGAAAATGAGATAACGCGCTTCTTTCTGTCAAGTAGCTAACACGTTGCTCGTTCATATAACTGATATATTGAGATATTAAACAAAAAAAACTCAGTGGAAAGACGACATCCTAAATCAAAGAAGCGTAAAAAAATCAAGGTATTTTTAAAATAATGTTAATAATTTTGCTTAAAAAATAATTAATTTTATCACACCCCAGATAGTACAATGGGCTTGTTCGTTTTAGCTACACTGGGGCTGCTCTGGGTCTGCTCTACACAGGATAATACAGGACAGATAAATAGTTTGTCCTGTATTATCTTGTTTAGAGCAGACCCAGAGCTGCCCAGTGCAGTTAAAACGAACAAGCCCATTGATATTCTGAGGATATTCTCAGAATATCGATTTAATTCAAATACATCCTAACAAAAAATTAAAATTTTATAAATGTTTTATGTATTTTTTTTTTAATTAATTGATAAGTATTAAATTTAGAAAACATTTTCTAAATTTAATATTTATCAATTAATTAAAAAAATAATAAATAAAACATCTCCTGTAAAATTTGGATTTTTCAGTTACGGGGTATTAGAATTAAATTATTGATACTATACCATACCAAAAGAACATAATTTTAAACTATAATATTTTAAGTTATTTTTTTAGGTTAAGTACTTTTTTAAATAATTGAATAAAATTTAAAGGAGATAATACATATATTTTATTTTGTTTTGCAATATATTATT